TTTTTGGACAGAGAAATGCTTGGGAAACTTTGACTTTGCAGATACAGACTAGAGGACAAATGCTAAGGATATGGGAGTACCTGGATATTTGTGTGCATGCTGACCAGCCAATTTTTAGGTAGATAGGCTGTGAACCTGCAGAAGGTGGCATTCATTAAAATGAGTTTTGATAAACAGTGGAGTGTTTGAGAGGTTATGGCTGTAAAAATAATGACACAAAAAAAAAAAAAAACAACCCAACAAAAACCAAACCAAAACTATTTTTTCATTAAAAACAAAAACAAAAAACAAACTCAGATGGATTTATTTTGAATTAAGTGGAATTAAATGGCTGTTATCCATGTCTCATTCTGCAAAAGGCGGATTTTATACACAGATATACTAAGACAATTAAAAGGATAGGATAAATATAGAGAAAGGTGGAAGTAAAATACCATAATGTTCTCAATCTATGTAGATTGAGATGCTATTTTATAGTTGATTTAACAGATGAAGAAAACAGTTGATATCATCTTTCTAAAATTCAGCTCAGGAGAAACTAATAGTTAAAGTACAAATTACAAGAATTGATGGAATTATTGGCAGATGGATAAAAGCTTTGCAAAAGGGAAAGAGCAGCAGACAGTTCTGCAATATCTGATATCACAGTAGTTACTAGTGATGTTCCTAAAATAACTTAGTACTGAACTTCTTTAATAATGTCAGGCACGGCTCTGGTAGAAATACACTAAAAATGCTGATTGTATTTGGTGACAATATAAATATATAAGCATTGTCAATACAAGGTAGGGTGTTGTATAAAAATCTCTTGTTACAACTGGATTAGTAGAAATGGGATTAAATTCAATAATAGATAATATCAAGTGATGCACACTTCCCCTTAAGGGTGGGTCATCACAACCCCTAGTGGTATCAACACTTCTGTTGAAAGCTAGAATTTTGCAAAGAAATAAGGTGGAAATGTACTGGCTGTCCTACATAACAACATGATTATAAATTAGTGAGTTCATTTAGCCAGATAATGAGATAACTGTGTTGAAAAGTTAACTCCAGTAGAAATAAAGACACTGGTGATGCTCATCTGGAATACTTGCTTATTTTGATTGCCTATGTCCAAGATCAATAAATTCAAACCAAAACAGTTATGTGAAATCTCTGCTGAGTGAATAAGTAAAGCTGAAGTGTCTTCTGCTAAGAGCTAGAGCTTGTTATCTGAGGCTAAACAAGTCAAAAGGGCATGTCTTTGTTAAGATATTCAGTAGGAGGATAAAAACTGGCAGAAATATTACCATTTAGGCTAAAAGCCAATGTTTGTACAAGAGCAAAAAGAGAGAAAACAGTTATAAATATACTCAGACTGGAAATGAGGTAAAAGGCCCAGTCTACTGGAATGATATATTTTGATACTATCTCTAAAGGAGACTGGTGAGGGGAGGGAAAAAAAAGGTATTTTAAACTAAGGCTATGAACAGTTTTGAAAGTGAATGCATGAAATGCTACCTGTAATAATAAAGAACTACATTTTGTGATCCAGGAAGTTCATTCTAATTTTGTGCTTACTTAAAACACTCTCATCTATGAAATGATAGGAATTTGCATCCCATCTTCTGTTTATTTCAGAGCATATGTTTAAATTAGAGGTACTCTTGCGAAAGCAACAATGACTATTGCAAACTGATGTATTTGACGTGTGAAATCTTTCTGCATGGAACAATACAAAATTAGATCACATTAAAATTGCCTGTTTTCAACGGTTATAATTTTACTTAGATCTTAATGCAGCAGTGAAAAGTTTTCTAAACTTGCTCATTTATTGTCCTCCTCAATTATTTTTGCATCAAGAAACTTCTATTATAGATTAAATAAAGGACCTTTCAAAGAGCCAACTCGATGTTAAGACAAATTCTTTGATGTGAAAGTTCCACAGAGTTGTGTGTGCCAAGTTACTGGTGCAGTTCATGGGGCAGGACATGAAGTTAACTGAAAATTTGCAGTAGAATTCTGTTCTTATGAGGGTGCAAATAATTGCTGGTTTATATCTCTTGGAGATGGTAGTGAAAGCCTTACAAAACGTTGGAGTGAATCATTATTGAGGGTAATATGAAGTTAGAGAAGAATATGCAGATTTCTCCATTTCTTTTCTTGCTTCCATGCCCTCTACCTGGTAGGCCAGTTTACTACAAACATTTATATAATAAAATATATTTATTCTGCATAATGATAACAATAGTAGTAGTCAAAATGAAAAACTGATTGTAAATTAAAAAGAAATTGAACATGTATTATTTTTACTGGATGATGATAATTATTATTATTGATTTTTAATATTATATATAGTTCTGACTTTATACAAAAAGTAAGTCATAGGTCACAGAGTTCTTTCCTAGAAACATTTTAACCAGTTAAGGTAATAAAGAATTACAATGCAATAGTAGAACCTGTTGTATTCTGCTATTCAGGAAATATGGGGGAAAATGATTGCTGAAGTAATTTGCTAAATTTCAATTTAAACAAAACTTATGTCAGCTACATCTTTTACATGTTGGAAAAAAAAAAAAAAGACCAGTGAAAGTGAGTCTGAATTCACAACTCAGGAATGACAATCTCAAAGAGAATTTACACTTAAAAATAAAATACTGTGCCTAATTTAAGATATTCTTCCTGAGCAGCAAAGGTTTAATCCAAAACCTTTAGCATGTGCTAATATTCATCCCTCAGTGGCTTCTCAGTGTAGAAACACCTCTTTTCCAGACCTGATTCCCTCTGGAGACAGGTAAACACCCTGTGCCTCTACTTGCTGTGCTGTAGCCAAACCCTCATGTGTCTGTATTTGAAAAAAAAGGATACAGGCAGTTTGTCATCCATTTCTATTCAGCAAATTCTTAAAAGTAAATATATCTCTTCCTCAGATTTATCTTACACAAAGCCAGTGTAGACAGTTAATTTAACAATCACAAGAGAATTTTTTTCTGTTTACTATGATATTGTAGCTTTTCCCACTTTTTTCCTTAAGGATCATGCTATTTATTCTTCTCTTACCTGCAGTCTTTACAGAAAGTCTTAGTGGCCTTCAAAACTTTTATTTCCTAGAAGATGTATGGTTTCACCTGTTTCTGAACAGTTCTGTAAATTCATGTGCTAGACCCATGAGCTTCTTAAATGTTTGACTGCCACATGAGGGATGCAGGGATGAAGTGCAGGTCCTCAGTAACCCTGCTCAGCTGTCATATCATGCTGAGGCCTTCCTTGTGCACACTGGACTCACTTCAACAGCACTCTAAGCTTCTGCTTGTCAAGATCTTATGGGGTATGTATGTGCGTTCCCAAGCCATTAAGGCACCGAAGTGGTCAGTTCTCAGCCTTCAGGAGATGGAAACACTTAAGCTTGTGTTTCTATGGAGACTTACTCCCTTTGACATTCTTAAAATGCATTGGGAAGATATAGCCTTGCACAAAACGTAAATCAAGAAAAAGACATTTAATTTTATTGTGGTTTAGGGGGTTTGGGATTTTATTTTGTTGTTGTTGTTGTTGTTCGTTTGGTTTTTTTGTTTGGTTTTTGTGTTTCTAGCAATCAGCTATGTCAGCTGTATCAACTATATCTGCTTTGTATGCAGAAGTTTTGGGTTTAAAACTAGGTTCTTGATTTGAGACTGCCCTCAAGTCTGCACAGAGGCATGCTTTTCATACTCTCTGCCTGAGAATATTCCATTAAGAGCAATAGGGATTTAGTTTAGATCTTCATGAGGACACAAGCTGTTAGGAGTCAGGGGAATTCCCCTGACACTGGACCTATTCACATTACATCTGAGAACGTGAATCATCTTTTATGCTGCTTTATCTCATCTTTATTGAAAATGACAGTTTTGTTATTTTTATTTAATTGTCTCCTATATTCACAGAGAAGAGCTTGAGTAGAACTTTTTTTTCTGTCTGGAATGCTTTATTTTGTAAAGACAAAAAAAAAGACATTTTTAAGCAATCAAACAGATTACTATAAGGATTTGTTTTTTAAATATCTCAGAGTTCTGACCTACAACAGCTAAGTGCTTAATTAGTCTGTTTTGAACTCAGACCCCAGATGTGTCTCATACAAGAAAAGAATCTTGATTAAATTCATCCCAAATGTGGGATAGAGGAGGCTAGTCACTTGTATTGCAGAGTAGGGGTTTTTTTGTTTCTTTGTTCTGTAATATGAATCTGGCAAAGAAAGTTGTTTTGTTTTAATTTTCTTTTAGGGGAAAATGTCTGTTCAAATAAATGCTTGTAAGTTCTCTCTTCGTGTAGAAGACACACACACTCAAACAATCCAGTAAAAATTTATCAAATCTATGAAAAAGATCATGCATTCTTCTATAATTATAGGAAAGCATGGTATAGTGAGATAGCTTGGATATGGGCAGCCAAAGTAATTGAAAATAATTCATTAAGATTAGCAGCAATGAAAAAAAGGTAATACAAGGATAATAATGATAGGGCAAGTAAGTATCAGGCAAAAGCAACTCTTACAAATCTATTGGGTCATTTTCACTCCCAAAATAATGGAGTGTAATTCAAAAGGAGTATAATGAAAAAAACCATAGAGGGGTAGAGATGAGGGGAAATTATACATATAGGTGTATACCTATGTATTATATATGTATATGCAATATTTATATGCACATACATATTACGTATTAGTATATAATTTTGTCTACTTGACAAATATGTGTATGTTCTATAATGTATACATGTGTAAAAGTTTTCTGGCTGTTTTACCACATTGTTATTCATACATTTTAATGAGTTTCTTATGAGAGTCTGTGCCTGTGTATGTTATTTTTCACAGCACTATTAGATTATCATTTTTTTTCTTTTCTGCATACTTTTCTTTTAAAGCAAAAAGCACATTGGATCAGATCCTGTGGAGGTTTGAAATTTTCAGAAAGATTTGTGCTGTCCACATGGATAAGATATCGTATGACTAAAGTAGGAAATTAAGCATGATGGAAGATACTGTTTTGCAGTGTACTAGCTGCACCCTAATAATTGATTGTACCCCTGTTTTCATTCCACAGTAAATGAAAGGAATCTAACACTGTGCTGAAGGTGGCAGTTTCCAATCAAATAATGCATTACAGATTCATAGCCTGCCTTTTTCTCACAATAAGACAATGAGAGCCATGTAGCAGTATTGATTACGATATTTCTCAGCCTGCCATGTTACTCAAATTAGTAAGTAAACAACAAAAAATATCATCTTGATATCTCAGTAGATAAGTATTGTGCAAGAGATTACTTTGATTAAGTGGAATTTTGTATAATGAATGTAGAGTTTTCACTGTATTCCCTATTCAAATACTATTTCCAAAAAAGATTTCTTAAGTCACGATCACAGCTATTCTCACAGATACCTCATTTTTTACTATGTAAACAAATTGAAAATATTAATATGGAAATTGTGCTTCTACTTACACTTCAGTTATTTTATTCCTCTTGAGTAATTATGTTTGGAAATGATACTATCCAAATAGAAGAACTCCTTTAATGATACAGTTTTTCACATATATTTTCAAGTAACTTGTGTAAGCATATCAGAGAGATAAGTGAAATCAGATGAGGTAGGAAATTGTGTGGGATCTAGAGCAAGAGGACTTGAAAGGAGAGGAGGTCCTGGGGTTAAATCTCCTCTTTCATAACTCTTAAATACATAGAAACTGTTCTGCTGTTAAATCATAGTGTTTGTTTGGACTTTTTAATCTCTAATGAGTTATACAAAAGAAAAAACACATTATCCCCATGTTATAAAACCACTGAGAAGTTCATGTGGTTTTATAACAATCTGACAATGCAGATACTTGAGAGTTACAATCAGCAATGAATTCACTTAACTTTGAAATAAAATCCTGCTCAAAGATTAAATTTTTCATGAAATTTTAAAAACATTTGTATTTATAATATAGAAGATAAGGATGTAAGATAAGGAAAGGGAATATAATTTCGATGACACTAAACACAAATTCTGTAGACCTATGCTTTAGATGTGTGATCTTTGCTGACAGCGATATATAAAATGAAGAATATTTGTAAAACCTTTAATAATATTATAAATAGTTTCCTGTATATGCAAATGTACATCTCAGAAATGAAGCTTTCCAATAGACTGAGCATCTGAGGAATACTTTCCAAAGAGACTTGAATGATGAGTGCTGAAAATGTGTTGGTTCATAATTTGTTACAGTTAACCTGTTCATAATTAGTGCTGCTAGTAGTACATATTTCAGAACAGTATGCGAAATGTTAAACTCTTCAAAGGACCTTTATAATCACTATGTTTATTTGACCTTACTGAAGATTCAGCTTTTATTTTGGATTTGTAGAGGTCAACACTTCTGATTTCATAACAGATCATTTTTCTGGTAGGTCTATGAGATCTCAGGTTGTTAGAGTAAACACTAGGCTTCTTTTGAATTATCAGAAGCAAACAGTGAAGATGTGACTTTCGGTTTTCTTTCTTTTTGCACTTTTGCATGACTAAAATAAAAGTTCTTAGCTTTTAAGGTCAAATGTTTTAAAAAATTAGTATGAGATACTGCCCTCCATGAAAAATTTTGGTGAAATCTTTTCCAGTAGACTGATCTTTGAAATACTGGCTAGTGAACTGAATGAAGTCCAAATTACCTTTTTATTCTGAGCAGAACTGTATTCCATGTGCTTATTGTATATGTAACTTGCATTGAAGAGGTTAAACTTATGCAAAGAATGAATTTGTCATGACTTTTACCTTCAGTGAATTTTAGAAGATGGAATTTTTCTACTCACAATGGAACTAAGGAGAAATTAATGAAATTCCAAAGAAATCTCTGCTTTGTATCTATTGATGTCATTACATTGGTCTTTTCTTTCTTGATGGTAGTGATGTCTGCTTATATCTCAGAGAACAGAAGCTGTGCATGTATTCTAAAGGCAGGTTGTGAAATACTCTGGAACCCATGACACCAACATTCTTACTGGACCACTGTTGTCATACAAGAAGTGGTAGATGATCTGAGGAAAGAATCACTTAGGAAAATCAGTGAATAAAAATAAGTAATTTCAATTAACAAATATTCACACTGTACAAGAGGTAGCTGCATATAGATAGTTTAAAAATTACTCCCCTGCTTCAGAAAATTTATGTTTTAAAAGAGACATAATTATATCAAGGGTCATAGGAAAATTATTTATGCTATTCATAAGAGTTATATTTTAGTTATTTGACTGTAAAATAAATAACAAATATTCTTAAGTAAAGCATTTTTAAAAAGCCAAGCTTTGTGTTTTGTTCAAATGAACTTTTGAAGGTTCAATTGATTTTGGACAATGTCAACACAGCAGTCTCACTGGGATAGGGAAAATCTGCCAGGATGTTTGGTGGATGCGCAGCAGGTTCAGAAAATCTGCATTGCTGGAAGCAGTGTGGCCACCAATCTTGTAATAACCTGGTAATTGACCTTGTGAATAAACTTGTAAATGACCTTGTAAATCAGATCTTCTTCAGAGATTTGCTGATTCTCTTAGCAGTGAAGTAACCAAAAACATACAAGGAGAGTCAGAGCCAAAATCTTCCCATTTACTGGAAAGTACTTTCAAAAATAAACAAATTCTGTCAAAGTAGAATCCTAGTTTTCAGGGGCTTTGTATGTTTATTGGAAATGTCATGTGTGAATATCTTTTGCCTTCACTGAAAGGTAGCCTTTAGTCATAAATCTGAATTCTAAAGGTACTTTGACTGAAGCATATAGTTCGAAGGCACACATGCTAGGTTCTCAGTGCTATTCAAGTAAAACCCTTACGATTGCAGTATTTCACATGATATCTTGGTAATGTCAAGCCTGTCTTCTACTTGCAGATAAAAATACTTGTTGTCTGTGTTACAGGTTCATTGGTTTGGGCTACATTCTTCTTCTAAATCCTGCTAGTCTGAAGAAACCCAAAAGAAGTAAGTTGGAGTTTTGAAGTTACATTGATTTGGGCCATTAGCAAGATTTACTTAGTAATTGATGTCAAGTATGCTATGAAAATATGTATGCATTAAAATACAGTGATGCACTATAATCCAAATCTGAAAGAAAAAGAGCATCAGTTGTGTAACCCATAAAGGTTAAGAAATACTTACAAAAAATTTCCATTTCAGCAACTACGGTTAAATGGATAAACAAGTTTCTGTCTCTGAATATAGATAACAAACTCTTGCATCACTTCTCATGTTCTACTTCTGCTGTTCTGATTTTAGTAGTCACAAGAAATCATGACTCAGTTTCTTCTGAGATAAACCCATAATATCCTGCAATACTTTCTAAACATTGAGTCAGGGAGAAAGATAGTGGCATTTGCCAGTATTTCATATATCAAAATAAATGTTATTGTTATGTTTATTTACAGGTATTTAAATGTAAAAGTGTGTAATACAAGTCGGATACCTCTTTTACATGAAAGTTAGTGGTTTATGTGCAAATATAGGAAGGTACTAAGGTACTGTGATTAGTTACCACTAAGAAAAAGATAAAGAAAGGCTTTCTAATTTTTTACATTAAAATATTTTTTGGTCCAAATAAAGTTTTAATTACTTTTACATCCTAACAATTGAAGAATATGAATTAAACAAAAAATAGCTAAAACATTAAGGATATTAAGGATAATTTATTAAATCCCATTGGAAAAGAAACAAACAACATTTTCTGCAGTAGAGGATTTTGTATTAAAAAAATGAAGTGAAGAATACACTATAGCTTATTCCCATTACAGTCTTAAAAACTGAAAAATGTAGGAGACTATTATCTGTGTACAACTAAGTCCCAGAAACACCTTCCATCTTTGATGAAAGCTGAACCTTGGAGAAAGCTGAATAATGAATCTGGTTTTGCTTCCTGATTTCCAGTTTACTATACTGCACTATCTTTGTTCGTGCACTTCAGCACTGAGATCAGTTTTCATTAGCAAGCCATAAGCAGTAGCAAAACAATAGAAGGGAAGAAAGAAGCCATGGTACAGTACCAAAAATGGAACATGCTAATTTACTGAGGCTTGCTTATTAGGTAAAGAATTCAACTTAGTGCTGTTAAGGAGGTATTAACTTTAATTTTTCTATCAATAATTTTTAAACAAGACTGAAGTTAGCTTCTAATGCTACAAGATTTTTAATTGCTGCGCTTAGGCAAGACTTGCTATAGGTGATGGAGAAATAAACTTTGATCTTCTTTTTTGTAGGAGATAAGATTAATTCTTGTTCTGACATCTTGCAACTGTAATCTCTGTTAGAAGATCTTTGTGAATTGGACAATCAGAGAATACCATAGTAGTGATAACTAAGACTTTGGGAGGGGTTTCTTTTGTGTTCAAATTTAATTGAATTTATTTAGACTGTGTCTTTTCTTATTTTCTTATTAGTAAAGTAGCTGTTCCTAAGAGGTGTGTGTACCTTACTTCTCTTTGTGTTGCATCTATTAAATCTGCATAGGTGAGTAGTGAACGCTCCCTTACCTGCTCCCAGTAATTAATTCCAACTCCCAGACTATTTTCAGGAAATATTTTTAGCAGCCCAGCTGGCACTGGGTTTTTTTGTTTGTTTGTTTCTTTGTTTGGTTTTTTTTTGATTTTTTTTTGTTTGGTTTGTTTTGTTTGGGTTTTTTTTTTGCATGGCCTGCCTTTTTTTTTTCTCTTCAGTCTATGTGTTAGTACTAATTTGGGGGACAAATTTACTTGGTGCTTATCATCAAAATGCCTCTTTCTGTGACACTTTAGAATAAATGATAGCAGACCCTGAGAGCAGGGTGTAGCCATACGTAGTACATATAGTTGACATTTTTAAGAGAGAACCCAGCTCATAGTACACTTTTGCAGGAAACACTCAAAGCAGACCAATGTTTGCTTCCAAGGAATGCTTCAGTATTTCATATTAAGCAGTCATTGGAACAGGGGTTAGAAATCACATTTGACTCATTCCTGTTAATAAGGACTTCATTAATGCAGTGCATTATTACCAAATTGTGTAAAGGTTGTTAGGATAACTTAGTTTCTAAGAAATTTTAAAGAAAACCAGTATTAAAAAACTACCTAATATCTGAATTTTATAGTCTAAAAGGACTCAGAAATTTATTTGATTCTTAGAAGGGTCATTGGGGAGTGCGTATTTTAGTAAATGATGAATTAGACATGCAATAAAAAAAATAGTAATCTGCTAATAGTTCTAATAAGAGCTACTTTTGGGCCACAATTTCAGAAGGTATATAGAAACCCTCTTTAACTAAGCATAAGCTAGGCCAATGGCTGGCACTGTGACTGCGTAATGATACTTCAGATTTATAATTTTGTTAACTAAGAAAATGTGGGGACTTTAGTACTTCCAGCATGTTGAGACTCTAAATTCTTACAGCAGACTGTAGTGTGCTTGCACATAACAACCTTCCAGAGATGAGCAGATTGACAACAGAGCTGAGACTGTTTTGCATTACATGTTAATTATGTAGTTGATGGTTATTTTTTATTTATAGAAAATGAAAGATAAATTTTGCTTTTCCATCCTTTGAAATAAAAATGAGGTTTATATTTCTGTTCTTAAACGCTTTATTAAATGCAGCTACAAATTTTCTTATTTTAGGGTCCTGGGAATTTATTTTTCTTTTTATTTTCTATGTATTTTACCTTATTCTTACCTGCTGCTCCTCACTGCAAACATAGCTGACTGAATGTGTTGGGAAAAGAAGTAATCACATGATACACAAGGGATTTAATCAGAATTGTATCTGATGATCTTGTTAAAAAAATCTTACTCTGTAAATTAATAATACTTTTTAAAAACTGAGACTATGTTTTTCTGAACAGTATTTTAAATGCTTTTAAAATGCTGGGACTGCTTATCACATAGACTCCATTCTGTTGGACATAGAGAAGATACATGATGTTTATCAGAAGATCTGCACTGTGACACAGTCATTTATTGACATCAAAAGAATCAGATAGCAGCGCAGATGAGAAGAAGCACTGCACTTTAAATCATCTTTTCACATTCAAATGATGACTTAATGAATATTATGAGAACAAAATAAATGGAAATAAGAAAAAAGAGATGTGAGAAAAAATTCAGGATTTTGACTAATTATTACGAAACAAAATCAGTTAAGAATCACTTAAAAACCCTCGTTTACTTATTATTGGTTCATTTTGTAAGGAAGGCTATTAATTGCTATTCTTGACATTGCTAAATTCTTATTTCTTGCACTCAGAGGCCTTGATTAAGGTTTTTGACAAAACATTTTATTTCCTTTATAACAAGTGTTTCTGCATGAAGAAACATTACAATTCTTTTGTTTGTTTGTATGGTTTCCAGAAGAAGAAAAATGAATCAAGATTTTTTTAAAAAACCCAACACCTAAGGATTATTGAAGACCAAAGGAAATAATGATTCTATGAAATGAAGAATTTTTAAACTGAAAGATTCATACTTGTTTTTTCATGTAGGTGTTACTGTGAAGGATTTTACAGAGGATGGATTGATGAAGTCTCATGGCCAAGGCTGAGTCAAAGGCAGAGTGTATTAGCCCTGCTAATGAATGCTTTATCTTTTCTCCATCAATAATATTTTATTTTTAAATGACCATTACCTAAACATTACAATTAGAGCCTCTTCTTTGACAACCTTAATTAAATTGAATTAATATTTAATTAAATATATGACAATTTAATACTTTTATTAATCTGTATTTATTTTTTGTACTGGTTTATAATTTGGTTATTGGGTCAGTCTTTAAATTAAATTAAGACAATGTTTTACTCAGAAAAAAATAAAATAAAAAACAAAAACAAAACCAAAACTTAATATCACAGCCGTCTTTTTAGTATAATATTAAGTAGTAGAACTACTGTTAGTAATCAGTAGGTCAAGCGAGGTGATTCTCCCTTCTCTACTCTCACAAGTCCCTACCTGGAGTACTGTGTCCAGCTCTGGGGCCTTCAATGTAAGGAGGATGTGGACCTGTTGGAGCAAGTCCAGAGGAGGGACATGGAGATGTTCAGAGGGCTGGAGCACCCATCCTCTCAAGATATGCTGAGAGAGTTAGGGTTATTCAACCTGGAGAAGTTGTGGATGCCCCACCCCTGACAGTGTTCAAGGCCAGGCTGGATGGGGCTTTGAGCAACCTGGTCAAGTGTAAGGTGTCCTTGCCTATGGCAGGGGTGTTGGGAGGAAATGATATTTAAGGTCACTTCAACTCAAACCATTCTAGGATTCTCTGAACTTCTGCATGTTACTGATGAGTTTTTTTAATGGGAAACTGGTATGGGAAGTGGATGTTAGATCTGATCTGTTTTGAACATGAGAAACAATGTGCTAGTGAGATGAGTCATAGCAATTAAATCTTCTAGTCCAAGTGTATCAGACAGATGTCATTTAATAAGTGATCGAAGCCTACAGTTCACCTGAATGAGGCAAAATTTGGTGCCTCAACATTATTGTCTAGTGTCTCTCTTCAAGCTTTAGAGCCAACAGTTGTCTAAACTTCTCTCCAAGAAAAGTCATGTTTCCCTCAACCTTCTGTGCAAATGAAGGACATACAAGTGCAGCTGCCATGCTTGTAACCTGTCAAGTCATTAAGGTCCCTTCCAACCATTCTATGGTTCTGTCATTCTTTGATTATGTCATATATAACAGTAATTTTCTTTCACGAAGTTGTCTAGAAGCTGTATTAGTATGATCCCATTACTGTCAACATGAAAGGACATATTTTTAGAGAATGGAGAATAGAGTAATTGCAGAAATTGAAGGATTTCTGATTTCCCCTTTAAAAATCTAATTTCTGTTGTATGGGACACCTGAAAAGTATAGCTTTCATGTGAAAATTAATCCAAATAATTGAGATGGTAGGACTTATATTTTGAAAATACATGCAGATATGCCATGGCTACATTACTTATGCAGAAGCAGTTACATTGGCAACTGTATACATGTGAATATATTTGTTAGGTGTAATAGCAGAGCAACAGGCAAATTAAAAATGTCTAAATGAAATACAGGTTTCATTATTTGCAGAAGTTAATTAAAATCTTGGCAAGATTTTTTCTTTGATGTTCTATACATAATTCTTTTTTAAAAATGGATATTTTTACAAACTTCCTAGAATTGTGTCTGGTATCTTTAAGGATACAGTTAGTTTAGTCGGTACCTTGTTCTCTGTTCTAAAAGCTAACGTTGCCTTTGTTCTTTAAACACAAAACATGTCCCTATTGTCATTTCCAATTTCAATTTTAGCTGATCTGAGAATTAAAACATTTTGAATTCCAGGACAAGTAGAACTTTCATGTCTGACTACATAAAAGAATAATCTTTACCATATATTTTATCCACCTATGAGCACCTCTGTTCATATATCATTATTCAGTTGCAAAGGGTTACTCGTAAAATTTAGGAAACTCCATAAATAAATTTGCCTCTGCAATATTATGCCAGCCCCCTTGTGTAGTTTTCAGTTTAATTATATTTTTAGCCTTTAATCCAAAGATGTGCTTACAATTAACTTTACAACACCTCTTTACATTTTCCATAATCATTCACTCAAACATAAAAATATGGAGCTGAGACAGAAGGTGTAATAGAAGGTGTAATTGACTAAGTTAGAATTTGTCTGGCATATTCAAGTTAAACACTTATTTCATACTTCAACCACATAGTTTAATATGCCTCTGGAATATCATTCATTTGCTAAAGATCTTAAGGCTAAACAAGGACTAATTCAGGAAAGAAAACTTTAGTGCATATATATATATGTATATATAATTCTCTTGAGTAAAAGTTTTTCTCCTAGTGAAGCATAATATGGTTATATAAAAATATATATGTTTACATATTTATGTGTGTGTATGAGTGTTTGTAAACTGCAAAAATAGATACAGAAACTTTTTTTAAGAACAAAGAAAGGAGTAGTTTATATGAATCATGGCATACTAAGACTTAACTGAAACATCAACACTGATTTTATTGAAAGTTGTGAGAGATGGCCAATGGATCATGGCTGGCCAATTGAATGGAAAGAGGCAGCTTTATTTTTGACTGTCACGTTACACTGAATGAGTTCACAAAGTTTAAGTTAACTCAATAGAAGACATTAATTATTTGAATATGATAGATCTGGCAAACACAAGGAACACTGACCAAAGCTTATGGAAGACAATATTATGACTGGGATCTGACCAAGTACAAATATTATCAAAGTAGGACCCTATGTTTGTGAATTAACAGGGCATACACTAGCTAAGGTCTGAAGTGACTCTCTAGACATGCAGGTTCTGGATTATGCCCAAATATGTGACAAGGTTTATGTGACAAGGTTTTAACGGGGAGGGAGCTGCAGGGGTGGCATCTGCCAGAGGTATCAGAAGTTACCCCCATATCGGACAGAGCCAGATGCAGCCACCTCCAAGGTGGACCTGCCACTGTCCAAAACTGGGCCAGTCAGTGGTTTTGGTAACATCTCTGTGATAGCATATTTAAGAAGGTGTAAAAAACTACTTATGCATAACAGCAGATGAGAGAAAGGAGTGAATATATGTGAGAAAAACATCTCTGCAGACACCAAGATCAGCACAAAAGGAGAAGGCTAAGGTGCTCCATGTGCCAGAGCAGAGATTCCCCTGCAGCCCATGGTGTACCCCTGCCAGTCCATGGAGGTCCACTGTGGAGTAGATATCCACTCACCACAACTTTATATACACAATCTCTCTCAGAGAAGATTACTTTCTCCTGTTTTTGTTCTTCTTGACATCTGGCACTGTAGACAAATTCAGAGAAGGAAGGATTGTTGCAAGACTTGGAATTAATCCCTAAAATAAAAAGATAAATAAAAAAAAAGTTTTCAAACCATGAAATTATAATGAATAAATGAATACAGGACAGACAACAGCTTGGCCTATTGATATATTCAAAGATTAAAACAATAGAAGCTGGAATATGCACATTCCTCCTAAAGGAGCATGTGAAATATGTGCACCGGTGAATAACAAATTTAAAGAGATATATTGTAGTGCAAAGAAAAAAACCTGCTGTTACTGGACTGGCCATGCACCAAGGTCTGTGCTATTGTCATGAGGATATCCTCACTGAAGGTTCTTAGGACCAGAACAATTAAGTAGTTTAAAAATGTCTCCCAGAGAACAGAGAAACCCTTAATAAAGAACAAAAGGTATCTGTAAGAAATTGACACAGGACATGTGTACGTAGATCACAGCACAGCTGAGATCACCACCGAAGTGTCTGCCCTAGCTGGTGAAGAGAGTGTCCATGGGAATGACAGACTATTCTTGGAAATTTTTATTCAGTTTTGTTTACTTAACCCACTATCTTGCAAATGCTGTTGAGCAGTGTTTCTCCATAGATATGCAATGAAGATAAAGACTGAGAAAATGAAAACTTACCAAGGTTCAAATTCTCAGTCAGACCAAAGTACAAAATTTAGTTCTGCACAGGTACTTCCATGGAGGGATATAGTTCAATTCTAAAGCAGTAAGATCAAATTTAGAGATTTAAGGATTTTGAGCACTAATGAAAATTCAAAGCATAATTCATTCCAAGATATTTAGTGTGCTTTGAAACCTGCACTGAAAATGGCTTTATGTTGTACAACATGGCCTTTGAGAAAACATAAATGAACAGGCCGAACTCATCTTCCTTGCTTTTGGTTTATTAGGATTTGTTCATATTACTCCTACTCTGTTTAAGTAACTTCGAATACATAAAGATATATATAATCAGTTTGAACAGATAACTCAATGCATATAAGAAATTTTAATCTTTAACTAATTCTGTATGAATCTGATTATAAATCAATACTGCTGTTGTTTAAAATTGGGTAGAAAATGAATGTATGTTGCAGACGCAATCTCTAAAAAATTTGCAAAAAGTGCAATTAAGCGAAGTACAAAGGCAATTTTTACAGTGCCACGTCATGAAGTGGAGACTCTACAGCCATCTAGGAATGAGGGCTATAGCCGTGTCATATACTGTGAGATATAGTGAAGAGATTTCATGATATATGCCTTAAGATATGTGGTAATAGATTTCTGTGGGCAAAAAGGCATGCTGAGGGGGTGATAGGTTATTAGGCAGAAGCTGGATGACCCTTATCAATGCAACCAACCAGGTGAAAGAGGGAGTGTTACTAAGGTGTCACAGTTCTGTTCCACCCTTGCACAAGATCCACAAGTCTTTGTAATCTTTCTTTGTAACTCTGGATATCCCTCAGTTACAAATAAAGTGGCTGCTATCCCACCATTTATGATGGCAATAGCAGAATATTTGACTACACTCTCACCACCACTTTTCCCAAATGTATATATTGGCATTTGAAATCCTCAGTGGCAGGGGTTGAGAATATGACTACCCTGCAGACAAGTTCATGGGGTTTCTCCTCTCTCCTCCCCAAAACAGGGGACACCACTTTGGTAAGATTTGCACCTCCGACCACATCAGAATATACCCAAGAACGCTTTTACATTGCACTATACGTTTATATTTTGCAGGTCCAGTGAATTTATCACCAGCATTCTAAAAGAATCTACAATCTGTTGCTCCAATAAACCTACTATTTGTGAATCTGCGTTCATGAAAGTTCCTTTTGAACTTGATGAAACTTAAAGAAGTGTTGTATTGGTAAATCACACTATTTGTGAATTTG